ACGTAGAATCACAATGGTATCACCCGTCCGGTAACACCCTGTATAAGCCTGACAAGTTTGAAGTACGTAAGCCGAATCATTTATTTGTATAGTCCTCGCGCGATAAGAAGGCATCTTTGTGTTACATTCCCCCTTTTACTAGCTGCCCCACTGCCACAGCTATATCAGTCGCTATTCGCCGACTCGTCACTGTTTTCGGCCAATTGCAAGCGATAGTTGCGGTAGTGGGGCAGCTAGCAAGAGGGGGAATGTGCCTTTTCGTCGCATGAGAACTACACTCGTATCTTACGAAAACTACCGTTGTTAGAGCGATTCCTTTAATATTCCAACTATCACACCGATTTAAACCAGATGAGAGACGTTGCATTAGTAGTTACCATGCCATTTTCAGAATTTATTTATGTATATTCTACATTATATTTTGGAGATAAAAGCTACGACTAAATGCATCTACAAAAATTACAAAAGTAAAATCGAAGTTAAAATCGTACAGTGATTAAACTCCTCGAATTTTTAAGACATTTTAATGGATGGTGAATCTTTCTTCGTGTTTCCAAAAGCGGATTACCTTTGTCGGACGCATTCAAAATTTTTGTTTGCCAAGCAGATTTTGAGAAACGCTGGAAATTCAAAGGTACTTCGTCATTTCGTCACGAAACGTACATCGGAATCCTTGCCTCCGGCGAACTTCGGAAGCTGTGAAACATTCGAATTGTTCGATTCAGATGTCAGGTTTCCGGGATTCCGTAACTGGCGCTCGTATCCGCGGCGACAATAAACTTATCCCCGCGCGCGGTCTACGTGGTAACGCGAAGTACTTCCGGCTGTGCGACGTGTAAGCCGTCTGAAACGGTGATTATTTATCCTGGGAGCGTTAAGGGCTGTTCAGCGCGGCGCGGTGTTCACCCACCGCCGTCATGCTGTATCTGCCAGCGCCACGAGACAATTGTCAACCTAAACCGGACACCACTCATCCTGTTACATTTTATCCCCGCTTCGTTGGCTTATCTATATTTCATCCGATGATATACAATTCAGGAACTGTCTACGAACTATGCTCTTCGTTAACCACCTCAACGTTCATATTCTCATGTTAACAGCTTTGATTGACCCTTAATTCCAATTGTTAAAATTATTGGTGGAATGTATCTTCTTACCTAGATAAATAACAGAAGTGTCTACTGAAAAAATGATAGGGATCGCTTTTTTTTAGAATGCATATGGATAATTGGACGACTTAACCGTTTGGCTGCTGACGTATTTTTTCGGACATATGCCAAAACTGCGGCCCTAATTGCGCGTGTATGGGAAAAAATGTAAAACACTTTTCATACAATCAACTCACTTGTATTGCTTTGCAACAACAAAAATTAAAAAATACTACTTATTTACATAAATTTGTTCGAATTAATTTTGTGAATAAAATTGGTAATAAGCACAAATTCTAGTGACTTAGAACAGCGTTATTACGCTCTCCGCAGTCTTGGCATAAAAAAAAACAGGAGCGCTATCACGTTCTTCGCATTTTTGGCACAANCTGTGAAACATTCGAATTGTTCGATTCAGATGTCAGGTTTCCGGGATTCCGTAACTGGCGCTCGTATCCGCGGCGACAATAAACTTATCCCCGCGCGCGGTCTACGTGGTAACGCGAAGTACTTCCGGCTGTGCGACGTGTAAGCCGTCTGAAACGGTGATTATTTATCCTGGGAGCGTTAAGGGCTGTTCAGCGCGGCGCGGTGTTCACCCACCGCCGTCATGCTGTATCTGCCAGCGCCACGAGACAATTGTCAACCTAAACCGGACACCACTCATCCTGTTACATTTTATCCCCGCTTCGTTGGCTTATCTATATTTCATCCGATGATATACAATTCAGGAACTGTCTACGAACTATGCTCTTCGTTAACCACCTCAACGTTCATATTCTCATGTTAACAGCTTTGATTGACCCTTAATTCCAATTGTTAAAATTATTGGTGGAATGTATCTTCTTACCTAGATAAATAACAGAAGTGTCTACTGAAAAAATGATAGGGATCGCTTTTTTTTAGAATGCATATGGATAATTGGACGACTTAACCGTTTGGCTGCTGACGTATTTTTTCGGACATATGCCAAAACTGCGGCCCTAATTGCGCGTGTATGGGAAAAAATGTAAAACACTTTTCATACAATCAACTCACTTGTATTGCTTTGCAACAACAAAAATTAAAAAATACTACTTATTTACATAAATTTGTTCGAATTAATTTTGTGAATAAAATTGGTAATAAGCACAAATTCTAGTGACTTAGAACAGCGTTATTACGCTCTCCGCAGTCTTGGCATAAAAAAAAACAGGAGCGCTATCACGTTCTTCGCATTTTTGGCACAACATAAGAAGAGCGCGATAGCGCTCCTCAGCAGTCAAACGGTTAAAAATGAATCGGTGTAAATCCATTAAACTTACGATTGAGACAAATAAGAATTTTGCAATCTAGCTGTAAAAAATTAACAATGCCAGCACAAAAGTAATGCAAAGCACATTTTTTATTATAATTAAACAAGAAAAGATATTAATATTAACATTTAGTTATTTTATTTCATTTTTCTATAATCTCTTTTTACTTTGTTCAGACATTCCGTGGTCGATATAAGTGCTTCTATCTATTGTTTATTCATGAAGATCCTATGATAAAGACATGTTTGCACCGCGTTAAGTCATTTTCAGAGAAAAGTGGACTTACACTGATTGACTTCTGAACCGTCTAATTATAGTTCACAACTGATAGACACACGAATATAAGAAAGACCTAATGACATTGTTTCTATACCTTAACACTTAATCTTAATAATTAACCTTAACACTTAACACTTCTTTCCATTCTGATGTCCGTAGACAGACCAGAAAAAACAATCCGTTCGTTAAGTGCTAAGTACAGTTAACTTCATCCTTGATAAATTGCAACCATTCTTCTCGGTAACGATTTATGTATGTAATTTTCGAATGGTTCTTTGTTATAATTGTACTCACTCATGCATGATACACTTTCTTAAATCATAGACATTTTTTATTGTAACTCACTATTAAATATAAGTATTACAGTATCCTTTTAAGTCGGAATAATATTCTGTTCCATTGTTATCAATGTTTAAGCATTCAATTAAATATAGACATACCATACTTTTTTTTTCTTTCTCTCGATGAAATTCATCACATTCGTCAAGGTGCTGATCATTGTAACAATGAATAAACCTTTCTAATTTGTCTCTACGCATGATTCATGCGACCGTAACTTGTTACATAACATGCGGACAATTGCAAACTGTATTATTGAGACGTTTCTTTACGTCTTAAAACATCATTTACTCACTAGCAAAGATCTTGTAGTAATACATCACGGACAAGGGAACATACCCAAGTGACATTGGCTGATCTTAATGTGAGAAAAAGTTTAGCTTACAAAAACATTCGACACGCGTAACGATCGAACTCGATATTGATCTGTGAGAGTTTTTTGGAAACGTCGAATTTCTTACGGTCCAGCATAAAAAGCAGCAAAAGTAGTCGATCAGTTACCGTTGCGTGCATCATTGATAACCGTCCGTATACATCGACCTCTATTGGCCAGATAATGGTAGGTTAGATATCTATGTTGAAGATATACGATATCGTGTACACTTAATGGGAATACCGGGAACACTATCCAATTCCAGTTACGTGGATAAACTGCGGATTTCAGAGTCCCGCTTATCCCATGTCGATCGATCACTTAATTCACCGTCAATTCACCAATAACGAGCAAATAAACAACAGTCGCGTATGTATGTGCCGTGTACAACTCTTATTGTCATTGAACATGGAACGCTCGACAAAATAAAAGTTGGTTAACATTCCTTAATTTTTGCAAATCGTGTACTCTGATATACCTGCGGTCACTAAATTATTTGGACACCTTCTAAAACGGAACAACTTTCTGCAAATTCGACAACATTACTTGAATTGTTTTGGGATGTTAGACTGATTAATTTATACGAGAATCAGTTAACAGATTTCTGCATAGCTTGCAATTGGTTGAAATGACAATAAAAATTTTAAAATGCTATCTTTATTAACATTTTTGTCCGAGGGTACGACGAGAATGATACGCATGCTGAAATTTTTATCGAAATCTGTTAACATTGGTATCAGCTGTTAATAATTGTACAGAGCGTCCGATTATTCGAGCCTTATGGCTCGTTTTTATAGTTATTGGAAAATCGATAACTTGCCGCCGGCTCGAATAATCGTATTTCCCAAATTGTATACAATCTGAGCATCAAGTAGAGAGAATTTACTATATTAACACTATGCAGATCCGCAGATCTTAGATATGATTCTTTTGTTTGAATTTTGCCGGAATAATAGCTTAAATTTTAGATTTTAAAAACAATTTCGAAGATGGCGGTAATATAAATTCTTAAAATTAAGATAAGTCATCCAAGAATTTTCGTACTTAATTCTTAGTTAAATAAGCACAATGCTATAGTTAGTTTGCTGCCTTTTAACACCCAAGAAATATAGTTCAAACGTTATTTCAGTTCTTTAAAATGGCACCAGCGTGGTGCCACCGGACGGCATAGTGTTAAGAAGACAATGTCGTTCGATTTTATGTTTTAAATCAAAAGAAAAAGATGCTGGACAGCACACCGTCGACGGGGTGGTCCATAAGGAATAGCTATTATTTCATTAAAAGTTGATAAAATGTAACGAAAAAAAAACATTTTGTATCCTGAACTGTTAAAGAATATATATATGCCAAGTGATGATAAATTTCATCAAAGTTTTATGTATTAAAAAAATTGCCAAATATCGCCTCTCGTTCGAACGCTTCTCGCGAGTCTCCCCCCCTTAACACGCCTTGCTATTTTCATTCGACTGATACTTTCATATCTCGTTTAGCATCGCAACAATTTGACAATGGAACTACTTTACGGTTACTTGACAAATGAGTGTAAGATAACCCATTTGTTGACAGGTGTCCTGGGTACGTAGACAGGATAATGGAGAGAAGGTAAACCTGCTGACGGTGGGACCACACACGTACATAGGAGATCCAAGGTATACAGTGAAGTTCCAGTATCCAGACAACTGGCGCCTAGAAATTAAACCGGTGAACAGTAGCGACGAAGGCCAGTACGAGTGCCAAGTCAGCACCCATCCGCCTAAACATATTCATGTGAATCTCCACATCAACGGTGAGTACCGTATCCCCGAAACAACTTACTTTCCTGTAGGCGACCGTATCGTAAAAGTTAATCCTTTGTGGCCGGAAGTTGAAACATTCTCAGGAGAGCTGATTTAGTCTCGGGGCCCGGAACCGGGAGTATCTCAATAGGGAAATAAACTGTTTGTTTAGACAAAACGTCAACTTTGACGATTCTGTTACGTTTACTGAAGACCAACTTCGGCAACGGTATAAATATTTGCGCGCGTCCTTGTTTTAATACTTTAACGGAAGTTTTCTGAATATACAATTCCGATAACAATATTTCCAACTAGAGGTTCAATTGTAACTCTCGACGCGTCAAGTGCCGAAAATACACCCCAAAAGCTTCCACAAAATCTTAAGTTAACCCTCAAGTACTTTCACGGAGTAGATATCTACACCACGCATAATATTTATATTCATAACATCGACACTGTGATGATAGTGATATATGATATATATATATATATATATATATAACTGATATATCATATATGTATATATATATATATATATATATGATATATCAGTCTTTTATTTTGCCCAAAATAATTATTTCTAAATAGAAAGTCTGCACAGATATTTGAAGTTTTTGAATCGGTTAAAAATCTACCCCACGATGCCACTTAGTCATTTTTGGTGGTTTTTGGGCCATTTTTCGAGTTTTTGGGTCAGGTCATCGATTTTTTTCATTTTTTCATTAAATATTTATTGGTTAAATATTTATATATTAATAAATAATTTAAAAATATATCATTAGTTAATTATATTTAATAATATTGTATTGAGATTTATAAATTTAACCTACTTCTTATAAGAAGTAGGATTAATAATTGTTCCATAAATATATAAATATATTTATTAAACCTTCATTATTTATATTAATGGATCCATTTATATATATCTATGAGGACAGGTCATATGTCTAAATTTATAGTTGATCTATTAAAAATACATTTTAATAAACTTAATAATTATAGTTAATTAACAAAATATTTAATGTAATATAGAGATATAATTATATATATTAATATAAATTAATAAATATAATATAATAGATATTTTAACTCGTTTGCATCCTTAGCATCCTAGTAAAATTCAGTTTGTTCTGCAATATTACAGTAAAAATGACTTTTGAAAATTAACCAAAAATTGGTGTCAGCCGTATGTGACCAATATGGCAACATGTTAATTGGTACAACGATGTTTGATATATTTAATAGTAATAGGGTAAAGTTGATAGGTAGTTGTTAGTTATCAGATGCGTTATCATGTTAATTATCATGTAGTACTAATTAAATCTCTGCACTATAACAACGTGCCAGAGTCGTGACGAAGATTTCATCACTGATCTACCAAATGCAAATGTTATTATAAAAATTATCGATTTGCATATAAGTGCATGCATCTTTATTGCATCGTTTAACTGACGACAGGATACATTCAGACGTGTATAATGGCTTGACCTTGAAATGACCTCTGACTCCAAACATCAAAACGAAACGTTTAATTATTGTCTGTTGGTATTCAGTGATGCAATAAAAAAATATGCACTCGTATGCAAATCAACATCGATGACTTTTGAAACTCCGAATAAAAAGACTTTGAAGAAGAAATGTTTTTGGATCGTATTCGGGTCTTGTGGTACAGTCAAATTCCACACAAAACTTTTTTTTGTGATATCACTATTGAAGGAGATATTTAGGTGGCAATGTTTAAGTGTATCATCTTTATATACTGTACTTGCGTCTTTAAACCATAGTTACCGCGCGAAATTGTCCTATCGATCCCATTCGATCTGATCGATTTTTAGAAAAGAAACACTGTTCTCGTTTTGCTTTCATTCCCCATTGAGAAATCGATACCAAGCTCAGGAGCATAACACCTTCCCGTATTGGTTTTTCTCCTTACCTTCTCGAGGATTAAATTAACTATACTAACACTCTCATGTTAGTATCATGTTACATTTAAATTAAAGCACACAAATTTCTCAAGGTATAGGAATAATGTCATTAAGTTGAAATTTAATTTCTTATATTTACGTGTCAGTGTGTGTATGTGACAGAAAACTTGGTATTGTTTCAACGAAAGTTCGTATTTATTCTATATTTACCTGTGTTTATTCAGAAATTCATTAAAACTGGTTTCGATGAACTCTGCACTAGCTTTATCCGTAAAAAGTTTTTTTACCATTTATATCTATTCTCGATGTGACTTAAACTTTGCTAATGAAACGCTGCTCGCTTTAAAATTCGAATTTCTTTTTAATGTTTCATTAAACTTGCGAAATTCCTCGCATATCATTCATCTTGACGTGTGCTACCTTCAGCTCCTCATCGCAGAACCCAATTATACTAGACAATATTATATTAAATATAATTATTTAATTGAACGAATACATTTAATTGATACTAAAACGTGAATAATATAAGTAAAAAATGAAATACGTATGATGTATATACAGTAAACTCCTGTATAACATGAAATCTTACAAACGCGCTAAAGATGTTACGACCATCGTTTACATATAAAATGATTTCTTGTACAATACATTTTAATAATAAAATTAATATATGAAGCAGTGAAATACACTGGAACGAAGACGTCAGAACGTAACTTGGACGATTCGACTAGCGATTAACGATCATAATTAGTTTGCGAATCTTTATGCAAAATAAAAATTGCCACCACTCACTGCAAGATCCAGCAGCTACATACACATTGGTCGTTCGTATAAATAATTCTTTAACGAGTTGATAGGACTATAACAGTCTTTAAATGTAGAAACTGGTTTGCATTTGAACTACCCTTTTTTCTCATAAATGCATAAAAACCGCAGCCTGATCGTAACGCTACAAAAGAGTTTTTCTGATATTGCTTGACCAATTATACCAACATAACGGATTTATAAAATTATTTGTTCCGTTAAATTTATATGGAACGAAATGTTTCATTCATACACGACAGCGATATCATTCGTGTTACAAGAGGAAAATTTTCATGCGGCACGAACTCGCGAAACTCGTAACGCATTTTCACGTTATATGGGAGACTCTACTGTGGGTAATATTTAATTAAGCGATCGCACAAAGCAATACCGAAGTATTGATTTTCTTGACAGCTTTAAACTTTTTCGTTGAGGTACATTTTATTAATCGAACCTGTACATCCTATTTCCGCGCGGATTTCTGTGATGCTCGAATTACGGTCGTTTCATCTACCGATCAACGAATAGAAGTAGAAACTTCGCTGCACCGACGACGACGCCCGCGGTCCCCATTGTCTTTTCTTTTCTGTTTCATCGCCGACATATACGCGCGTATACACACGAACCCCGCAATATCGTTGCGGTTCTTCTGCATAGCTATATCGACAAACAAACCTGCCTATCCAACGATGCACCGCACTGTGGAGTACGGAGGCAGCGCGCGAAACAGTTCCCTTTCGTTAACTTCAGTTACCACACCCATCGTTGCTTTTCCAACATCGCATTCCTCTGTCAAATTCGTTCAACGGGCAATTGTTTTTATCTTGACGTTCAGTTATTGATAAATTCTACGAACACGTTAAATATAGTAACTGTAGAGTTAGTGTGCCAATTACTGGGCTCCCCACTGGTTATTGTGTGCCTTCAGAATAATTTTACTCATATTTAAACCCAACATTGTGAAATTAAAGGTATTGAATCATTTAAATAAAATTTCATCTGTAATTATAAAATGTAGAAACTAACTTCTCGAATTTCCGATAATGGTTCGAAGTGTTTTTGCCTTGATCTTGTTAGAAGACTTGAGAAACACGTTGCAAATAATGTTGAAAAATAATACAAAAATGATGCATACAAAAATAAAAAATAAATTATTATGTTTATCAAACTCGACCAAATTACAGAAAAACAATAATATAATCGACTTCTCAAATATATTTTCTTTTATTTAAAGAGTAATTCTCTCTCTCTCTCTCTCAGTAATTGAAAAAAATTGTATGTTCTGTTTCTATTATTGTGCATCTTACACTATATAATATTAAACGCCAAAAACCATATGTAGAAAAAACCCTAACTAATATTAAATTTCCCGAAGTTCGAAGTGCGTTTGGATATTATGAAGGTTTATGAACGTATGTACAGACAGACATTTATTTTCTTTCTTACTTATTATACATTATCATTCTCTCTCTCTCTCTCTCTCTCTCTCTCATCGTATATGTATATTGTATATAATAATATATCGATATCGGATTTTTATCGGTAAAGTCTCTCAATGAATACCCTACCAATATTTCAGTAACGACTTCTCAACACTCGGACAGCGGGGACCGGGTCTATAAGGACCCAGAGTATAAATATTATTAGACTATCAGGTCTTGACTTTCGGTTTCTGAAAATTAATTTAAATTTTTACATGTTTCACTGAAGTCTATAGAAAACCTAACGCATTTAGGAGAATCTTAAAAAATATTTTTTGGAAAACTTCATGATAAAATGTTTAACGATCCCAAGGCTACTCTTTCCAATTATAATATTATTAAAAAGATGTCAATTGATTTCGATTTCCACATGTTTTATTAAGATCTACAGAGAAACTAACACGGCTAGAAAAAGTATCATAAGAACTATGTTCAAATAATTAATAAATATTATTATAAATGATCCTAACGATAAGCAATTATAGTTATGTCAAAAAGGTCCAACATTACATGTCAACTTAGTCTTTGATTTGTATCCGTATGACACACCGGAAACCCGTGGAATGCTTTGTAGTATCAAATGTTACGAATAATCGAAGCTGAACGAACATTATTTAATTTGTACGAATAATCGATTTTATTCGTTTTTTTTTTTAAATAATTACAACGACGTTGCAATGATTAAGTGCATTCTGTTTGCCCGTTGTTTTGTTTTTGTTCTAGCTGATGTAATTTCTCGCCCTTCCGACATCTTCCTCGATGTTTGCTTATTTCCAACCACTCGTTCACCCTGTCCGACTA